GCTAGGCATGAAGAGTTGGCAGTTTTCTGGGCCTTGAACCCTAGAGAGAGAGACAGTGACAAGAGTAGTCAGGAGGGGGAAAGAATAAGAAAGTATGCCGTGTAAGGGGAGTTGATGTCTGCCCAAAAGAGAGAAGGTCCCAGAACACAGTTGCTGTCTCCAACCTCAGAAGGGCTGTCCTACCACCAGGGGATAAGGCCCAGAGGCAGAGTCAAGACCAGGGTGGGAAGTTCCTAGGATACGGCTTTCAGTTTAGGATGAGGAAGGACCTCACAGTGAAGTCCTGCCTACCCATAGGTGAACTGGGCTTCCTTACAAGGTAGTCAGCATCTCATAACCAGAGGTACGCAAAGAGAAGTTGTAGGAGCCTGTGGCTGATTCTACAAAGTAGAGTAATGCTACCTCAGAAGAACACATCTAGCATATACTGAATCTTTATATGTTTATTTGTATGTATTTGTTGCCAACGGATGTGTGTGGGATGAATTGAGAAGCATTGTGTCGTCACCGCAACTATGTGGAGGAGAAGCACTGGCAGAGCAGGAAAGAAGGGACCAAGAAAGATGAGCCCTGCTGCAGGGGTGTGGTGTGACACTCTCCTGTGGCCTGTTGCCACCCAGGGATTCCCACACACGGCCCACAGTGGTAGCAGCAGCAATTACAGCATCCTTTTTTGGAACAGTCTCTGCAACACTGCACTTTTGTGGCTCCCAATATGCCTGCCTCCCTGAATGACAACAGGAAAATGAAATGACTGCATTGTTCTTTCCTGAATTTCTGTGGGGTGCGTGTGTGTCCTGGCTTTGTAGTCTTTTGTCTTCCAATGTTCTTGCTTAAATACTCAGAACATCCGTCCAATCAGGTGACTCCAGAATGTATCAGAGAACCTGTGGCTCAGCAACCACGTCACAGTCCTAGGGCCTGAACCCTGGTCCAGATGCAAGGCCAAGGGGTGCCCATTGTACCAGGGCCTGCAGTGCCTTCGGCCAAGGAAGGGCAAAGTATAAACTGGGAGAAGAACAGGAACTAGGAGAAGGGACACCTGAGGTTCACCCAGCCACCACCTTCCTTGCTCCTTAGTGAGCGGTACTTCAAAAACAAGCCAGAGTTCCAGGGAGGACCACAGACTCCCTGGGCTTGGAGTCAGACATCAGGGCTCAAGTGCCAGCTGCTCAGACTTTGTGCTGTTTAAGCTTGAGTAAGTTAGCCTGTTCCTGAGCTCTGAGTTCTATGCACAGCGGGACCAGGGCTGATGGCCCTACTAAAAAGCTAGCGTTGTCAGGCAGAGCTAATGAAACTGAGAGCCATAAAACTGAGTGCACATGCAGAACAGTGTGGAGTAGAAGAGCTCTGTGCAGGATTCCCACAGTGCAGCAGCACAGCATCCTGATGGAAAACCTCTTCGCACCCTAGTTCTGTCACTTCCCTGTTCATGCAAACCTGAACTCGGACTTGACAGCAGGGAGTCGCCATGAACAACCAGCCAGGATGTGCACTGAGTAGTAAGCAGCCCCTGGGAGAAGGTGATAAGGCCCAGCATCTGCGTGGACAGGCCAGGGCTGAGCAGGAGCAGCCCAGCCATCTCAGGGTCAACAGCTGGCTAGGACAGATGCCAGCGTGGGCAAGGATGGAGGCTGGGCAGCTCAGACGAGGCCTCCCAGGAGCTCCATTTACTCCTGGGGCCCCAGATGTCCCTAAGGCCTGGGGGCAATTATCCCCACATGCAGACCCCAGCCTGAGACTTTGATGCAGAGGCAGGAGCTTGGTGGTAAGGCACCTCTGGGTGCAGGCCCAGGCCAGCCTGGCGAGGCTGGGAGAAGGGGGCTGCCCTTGGCCAGCTCGAGCAGGACTTCCCATCCTTTCTCAGGCCACTGCACACATAGCAAACAGTATCAGCATAGGACTGGTGGTCCAGCCATGCCCACGTAGAGGCAAGCACTATCTGAGGATACTTGGAACTTCATTCTGGCACAGTATGCTGTTGGGAAGATCTAGGTTTGTATTAGAGTGAAGGTTTGAGGAGTTGGGCCACTGGGATCAGGGCCCAGCTCTGTCCCTATGGCTGTGCTGAGCTGGAGGGGACCCAGCAAAGGGTTGCCTATGAGCAAGCAGCTGTTGGCGGGGGGCGGGGGGGAATGGAGAATGCTGGACAGGAGCAGGGGGAGAGGGCTGGACTGAAAAGAGAGGCAGCAAAACATGAAGGCCAGAGAGAACCCCAGGCATTTGGCCCCTCAGAGGTTCCCAGAGTAGATCATGGGGAACAGTTGATGACATGGGTGAGCAGGGGGTTGGAGAGTGGTGCAAGGTGAAGAATAGAAGCAGGAGTGCAGACCCCTGTTTCAAGGAGGCTGAGAAAGGGGAAGAGAAGTGGCAAGATGTTGAGAAGCCAAAAACAGCAGAGGAGGCAGCCACTGACCCTGGCTGTGGCAGTGGGGAGCAGCAGGGGGCTAAGCACAGTAAGAGAAGGTGACCGATGGAGCAAATAAGTGCCAGTGGTTTTTTTCTTCCCCTCATCATTTTCCAGCCAGTGCTAGGTACAAGCCAAATGACAGTTCCCTTGTCATACTTCTGATTTTATTTATTCTCAGGGTTTAATTTACATGATCTCAGACCTGCACTGTACCGTGTTGGTGTCTGAGGGACCCACATTTCTCTCCAGCCTCTTTTGTCTTTATTTTTGCCATTCCGCTTCCACCTGACTATAGTACTCCCCCCATCCCACCATCCCGACCTGTCCCCAGACACCCAGTAGTCTGTGGGTTGGACTTGACCTTGCACTGCTGGAGGAGGGTATGGCTCTGCTCTCAGGACAGTCACACCCATGGACCCCCTGAAAACATGATCCTGTTGATGTCTGCCTAGCCTGGCTGGGGTGCAGAGGAGGTGTCTGGTTCCCACCTGCTGGTACCACCTTGGAATCACCAAACCCTGGCCCTTGATGGGACCATAGTGGAGAAGGGACTTGCTTTCCCAAGGTCAGCGAGCAGACCTCTCCACTCAATAATGCTGCTTCAACAAAAATCAGGTGACCATGTGGATAGTTAGAAATGCCATTGTCAGCTGGGGGCCTCCTGGGAAGGCTTGGCTCCAATGCCCAAAGCCAAGGCCTGGTGACCTCCTGAGCCTGCTAGAGATTCCTGCCCTTTCCCACCCTTCCCAACAGACTCTTGGTCCAGCTCCTGGTTCATGGAGCACCAGTGTTCCCCTCATGCCACTCAGAACCCTTGTACTTCGTTAGAACTTCCAGAACGGGTAGAAGAGCAGGCTCCATCCTCAAAAGTGTGGCCCTCCCTGAGAGACTTCTCTCCCTGAGAGACTTCCCTCAAGCAGAGACTTCTGCTCCAGGGCAGCAGAATGTCCTCAGTGCACTGTACAACTAGGTGTCCCCCCGGGCCATGTCCCTAACCTCAACCACTGCTCAGCCTCCCCCAGCTCTCTGACCACCTTCAGAGGGAACAATTGCAATGCATGCTTGGAAAATTTCCTTACAAGTAGAAGCTGGTGTGAGGGCTCCTTGGACTCTGGAATGAGGCTGGAGACTCCCATACCTGTAGAGGCCACACAGGTGATTTGCTGGACAAGCAGCCCAGACATGGGGCAGTGGCAGACACAGGACAAGGCAGACCCAGAAACTAAGGGTCTCACCTTCCAAAGGAAGCCAGAAATCTGGGGTTTCCCGTGAAGTCACCTGAGTTTGAATGTTGATGATGAAATCTAAGAAGGTTTAAGGCCACATAGGTCAGGTAACACATCCATAGTGACACACTGCCCAAGGGCTGCTAGCTTGTCTCTCTTTTCAAGAGCATGAGAAAGACTTCCTGCCCCACTGCTGTGAGCCAGAACTCTGTCTCCACGGGCATCCCCGCCCTCCTTCCCTGTCCTGGTCCCTAGGCCATCATTGCCTCAGGGAATTGAGGGTTTGGGTGCTGGTTTCTCTTGACCTTGCAGTCACTCTGAAAAGTGCCTGGCATCACCACCTTTGTGCCAGGCACTGTGGACACCGGGAGGCAGTGGTGCCATGGTGCATTTGCAGCGTTCTCATAAATGCCCTCATGACAAGCTCTCTGGCTTAGGGTTCAGTGCAGTACCTGTGAACTTCTCTGCTGCAAGGCCTGCCCCAGAGGCCCCAGACTGATGAGGAGGACCTGGGGGTGCCTATGCCATCCAGAAGGCCCATCTTCCTGAAAACCAGGGTGCAAGGAATGAAAATAGTAGAGCTGCCCCCACCTGCTCTGTGGGAAAGCAGTCTGGCCTGGGCTTGGTCTCTGGCTTGCTCTGTCACCTTAAGCTTGTCTCCTGACCTTACTAAGCCTCAGTTACCTCTCCTGAGTCTTGGGTATAAGAGTCCTGGCTCCTTCACACTCCTGCATTGAGGTCAAAATCAGAGTGCATCATATAAAAAGATGTAGAAGCCTAGTGCTGCACTTGTCACCCCCTTCCCAGTTATGACTCTGGCAGGGCCTCCTGGCTGCTCAGCAGGTCCCCCGCCACTCCCTGCCTCATGTCCCCTCGACACTACTGCCTCTCCCACACTGCTTCCTGAATGTGGCTGGACGGGCCAGCTCTGCCTTTGCTCCAGCTGTTTCCTCCAGCGCTCAGGACATGACACAGAAGCCAGGACACTGTGCTACCCACTTGCCATAAGCCCTCTTCTGGCCTCAGTTTCTCCACATGTAAAAAAGTGGAGTTGGATTAGTACCTAAGCCTCTTCCAAGTGTTTAGAAATAGGGAGCCAAGGGAGGGGGACTCGGGCTGTCACAGTGACCAGAGGAGATCTGTGGCATTTAGTGCCTAGTGTCCAGGGGCTCTGTGCCCCAAACAGCACAGGATGCACTCTCACAATGGAGAAGCACTCTCTGTGCCCCCACAGGAGAAACTGCTAAAAATACCCTCACTGAGAACCCCTGCTGGGTGCCCTCACACATCCCTTCTGGGCCTGTGATTCCAGGGGGGGAAAATCACCCAAACTTGTAATCAAACATTCAAAAAGAAATTCTTACCTTGAAATGACAGCTTCTAGCTTTGCTACTTCAGAGATGTGGGGCTGCTGCTGTTGAGATAAGCAGTCCAGCCCCTGCAGGATCTGGAAGCTTCCTCCAGCGCCAGCTCGCCGTGTCCCTCTGCAGTTGGAGATAATGATGGTTGACACATCAAGCTCGGGCTTTCAGCCTCTACAGGCTGTAAACACACCGGTTGCCTCCCTTGATTGCCTTGCCAGCCCTGGAAGGTTGTAGATGAGGAAGTCACAGCTCAGAGAGGCCCAGAGATGTGTTCAAAATCACACAGCTGGGGAGTGATGGGCATGGGGTCGGAATCTCATGTCCTTTCCCCTCCCTCTCCAGGCTTCCCTGGGGGGCTCCTCCATCTCCCCCAAAAGAGGCAGCGCCGACTCACCTGCTCCCCAGAGAAAGAAGCAGGTGGAGGTGCTGAAACACAGCTCAGAAAAGTCAAATATCCTCCCAACACTCTCTCTCGCTCACTCACTTTCTCTCTCAAAAAAACACCTACCACTTTTATCACATATTTTTTGAATTGACTTTATAATTCACTTATATTTTAAAAAGAGGCAAGAATGGCCAGGGAGGAAATTCTGTGAGGCAGCCCTGGGAGCTGGTCAGAAGGTTGAAGACCCTTTCTACAAAAGCGCCACGGCCAGACCCGGGGACCTGAGCCACCCACAGCACCAGGAGAGGAGAGTTTGGTGAACCCCACCAACAGCCCCATAATTGGGTGAGGTGTGTGGAGCCCTCTGGACGCCTCACTTTCCTTGCCTGGACCTGAATCCCCCAGCCCCACTGCCAAGCTAGCCCCACATAGACCATACAGAAGCACAGGGTGCCTCTGTCTGGTCCAGAGTCAGAACCCACAGAGTAGCTGTGTCACAGCTTAACCATTACTCTCTCCATGCCAGAGGACAAAGGGAATCCTCATTCTTAACCAAAGAACTTCTGATCTGAAGAACCAATGTCACCCCATTGTTTAACACCCCCCATACTGAGATTGAACCCAGGGCCTTTGCACTGAGCTCCAGCCCCAGCCTGTTGTTGTCATTGTTGAGACAGAGTCATGCTATGTTGCTGAATTGCTCCTGTTGTGCTTAAACTCATAATCCTCCTGCCTGAGCTTCCCGGAGTGTGGGCATTATAGGCATGCACTACCCTGCCCAGTGTTTAAAATCTTTTAAAGGCTTTGCTGCCAAAAGAGTGGTCCCTGGGCCAGCAGCACCACATCTCCTGGTTGCTGCTTAAAAGTGCAGCTTCCTGGGACACTCCCCACCCCCAGACCCATGGTCCTATATTTACATTCCCCCCAAGCTCCCCTGTTGTCTGTATCCATGTCACCCAGTAAGACCCCCTGCTGCCCCTAAATTATGACACCCTGGCCACACTAGCTCCTTTTGGTTTCTAAAATATACTGAAGTCTTTGCCATTTCAGTCCTTCCCATACCAGGAAGATCTTCCCTAGGTTTACACATCCTTCAGGTCTCCAACTAATATCACCACTTTGGAAAGCCTTCCCAGACTAGCTGATCAGTACTTCTCGAAGGACCTTGGTGTTCTCCTTGGGAACACTTGTCACCACTGGTCTTCATAGCTATTCTGTGTGGTTCATCAAACATCTGTGTCTACCAGAATCTAGCTCCAAGGAAGCAAGCATCCACATTGGTCTTCTACACCCTGTGCCCAGCATCCAGCACAGTGCACACACATGCAAAATACATCTTTGAATAAAGAAATTTAGGACAAATAGAGTCCTCCCTTAATGATCCAGGCTCATATTAACCACACTGTAAGTCAACATCCAGGTTCACTTTGCAAATGGGAAATTGAGGTCTGGGAAAGGACTTGGCCAAGGTCAGCCAGCAAGTCCATAGCAGGACCAAAGTCTTTGACCTTTCAGGCCTCAACACCTCCACCTCCCGCCAGGACTTTGTGCAGCCGGACAATGCAAGACATTTGCAGGGTCCACTGACCTACATAGTGAATACTGTATCCTGCAGAGGGACTCGCAAGCCAGCTGCTCTCCTCTCTCTGCACAGATGAGCAAGGCTTTCCCAGGCAGCTTCTGTGTGCCTCCCACTGAGCAGCCGGACCAGGAGCCAGGTGTGAGCACTTCCGCCCTCCTGCCATCACAGACAGGCACTGCCTCTGCTGGGCACAACATCTGCCAGGCAGGAAAGAGCTTTTCTCAGCTTGAGTTCAGCTTGCAACACCAAAGCACAGCCTTCCCAGAGCTCTGGGGCTTCCAGGGAGGCAGCTCGGGAATACTTAATGATTAAGTTTCTCTCCCTCGAGCAGTGGCACCTCACAGTGTGCAGAGCAGCTCCGTACCCACCAGCTCCCTGGAATTTGACCCTGTACCGAGCAGAGGCAGGGCAGGCTGGGGAGGCTAACGGTGAGGGTGGGTGGAGAATTGGTTGGGCAAGAGATAGGCCTGGATTTAATCTCAGCTCTGAGACTTACCACCTGGAGATCCTGGGCAAGTCATATAACCTCTCTGTGCCTCAGTTTTCTTATCTGTAAAATCACTCCTTGAGAAGTAGTGGGGTGGGGTGGGGGCTGCTTCCAATCGTTGGATTCTTGGGAGACTTCAACAAGATGATGTGAGTAGAACCCTCACCCTGGCAACCAGCACGTTGTTGCTTATGGCCAAGCAAACCTCCACGTCCTTACGGCTGCTGTTATTGGTTGAGGCCACCCCACTCTCCCTCTGAGCCCACTTCTCATGGAAACTCTTCTGGTCTTACTAAAGTGGGAGATGCTGCATCCCTGAGCCCACAACAGTAGCTGGAAAATAGTAGTGCTTAATAGTTATGCATTGAATGACCAAATCAGTGATTGTTTAGGTAACTGCTCACGTGAGAAACAAGGAAGAAAAACAAGAGAAAAGGCCTGTTGGAAGTCTTTATAGGCGAGTCATCCATGTTGGCCAAGAAAAGCATTCTTAAAATTGTGGAAATGCAGTCATTGCGACAGGTCAGAGAAGTGGGCCTGAAACCCAGGCTCAGGCCCAGATGCAAGATCCCAGCATGGCATCTGCAGGGGTTGGTACCCTGTCCACGCTGGCCCTGCGCTGCACCCCCAGCCCATACTAGGTCAGCCTGTGTTCAGTTCTAGTTGTGGCCTGGGCTCTCCTGTGGGGTGAGTCCACCACGGTGCTTAGAAATCTGGCCTCTTTGAAGGCCAGCGAGTGCCTTCCAGAGTAGCATCGAACGTCACCACCGCCTCACCATTGCCAGCCCTACTGAACCACAGTAGTTTGTGTCCCCATCGCGGGTTGGAGCCGCCCGGTGGTTCTCTGGTGCCCTCTAGCGGTGATTTGGTGCACGACAATGACGCCACACAAGCGTTCTGACGGTGATTCCTCAGCCCCGCCCTCAGGTGGCCGCCTTCCCCAGAGGTGTGACTGCCAGACCACAGTGAACCCTAGTCCCAGGCAGGATCCGCAGGACTCAGAGAAGAGGCGTGGTCCCCTCCCTTTGTCTTGGGATTCAGTACAAGAGTCACTTGGTTGTATTCACGGACTCCCCATCCCCCAGCCTCACAAGGAAGGAAACTTCACCACTAAATTACCCCTAACTCCTACCTTGGTGACCCAGGTCCTGCGGCACGGAGATGGGGCTGTGTGCGGACAATGAGAATGACCAGGAGATCTGGAGGTTTATTCCGCGGGGAGATGTGTTGGAAGCAGCGCTGCCCACTCTGGGGGCGCTAAAAGGCCAGATGTCAGAATTAGGGGTTCAGGATTCAATGAAGATGGGACGGCAGAGGAGGGGGTAAAGGGGAACCAGGCAGGAATGCTGGCCACAGAGGAGAAGGACAGAGGTCTCAGCAGTTCTGTAAAAACTACCCAGTGGGTTAAGCCACGTGTAACTTATGTGTCACTGGTGGAAGACACATTTTGAGGGCTAAGGAGACCTGGAGCAGGGGCAGGCAGGTTGCTGATACTTGAGAACTGAGCTCGATTCTAGGGCTACAGATCAGTGGTAAACTCTGCAGGCTGCAGGACAGGGATCATTTCAAGGAGGAAAACATGGGTGCTATGTCCCTTCTCGGCAGATCTTCCCTCCTAACTCTGAGAGCTTGGGGGTTTTCTGGGAAGCCTCTGAGGGAGGACAGACAGCAATGGGTAGAGGTCCAGGAGAAGGTTTGGGTTCTGTTAAAGAAGTTTGCAGTATTTCACCAAGAGCCAGAGGGAGGGGGCTCCCTGTCACAGAAGTATGCAAGCCAGACAACTATTGTCAGGTTGCTGTGTATAGAGTTTTCATTTTGAACAATGGTGTATGACGGCGCTTTTTACACAGAGGATCTGAGTCTGTCATAAATTACTGCCTTTCACCGTAGAACAACACATAAAATCATCATTAATGGGTTTGCTACTCATGTGTGACCGAGTGGGCCTGTGCTGCTGCACTCTAATGTCTATGTGGTTGTCAGGTGTCAGAGAAACCTGGATTCTGACACTGGGTCACTATTCACCTAAGGACCAAGCCCATTCTGTTCCTTAATTAAACAATGAATGGATGTCAGGAAACTCCCATTTCCTTCATTTCCCTCAGCAAAATGCAGCCTAGCTCCTGGGAAGGGTTTGGATAGCAGTGGAGAGGATCTCTAGCCCAGGCCAGTGTACTCTGAAATCTGCTTTTCCCTGGGTGTTCTCTCCCAGTGTAAAGGCCTCAGGGGACCCTCCTGTTCCCTGGCACTGTAGCCCAAGTGTGGACTCAATTCCCTCAGACCCAAAGAGGTCAAGCTAAGGGTTTCTATGACTTGGAATAGCTAACAGGAAATCAAGCCTGAGAGAGAATGCAGCTGGATGCTCTGGTTACAGAGTGGCCTGAGTCTACAGGCCATATGCCTCTCAGCTGTCTCTGCTCTTTTTTTCCTTGCTCACAAAAGCACAGGAATTGCTGCCTCGAAGGCAGGGCCTAGAAAGCAAGGCCAAAATACAGAGTGTCTAGCCCCGACCTGGCTAAGGCTGCCCTTCTGCACCTGTGGTCCTGGTCAAAGTACTCTTCTTCCCAGTGATTGACCCTGGGATGCCCACACCTTACTATCAGGCCTCAACAGAATAATTTCATCAGGATACAATGTCCTAAACACAGCTTTGACAATATGCCCTCGGTGGGACCTATTCTAAAAGCAAAGAGATTTGCAAAGGAATTTCCAACTTTGGAATGTTTGTCATTGATAGAATACTTTGTGCTTCAATTCTGAAAGTATTTTACAGGCTTGAGCAGATAAATAAACATTTTGATGTTGAAAGCCAGGGATCTCATTGTGGCAGAAGAGAGATGCAAATGCAAGCAATATATGTGGTGTGATTATAGATAGATAGATAGATAATCTCTCTCTCTCTCTCTCTCAATTACAGATAAATTATAGGTAGGTAGATAAATACATAGATGAAAAGGGCCTAGAAGTAACAACACCTTAGAAACTGGGTACATTAAGTACCTAGCCCTTGGTTTCTAAAAACACCATTATCCACCAAAAAGAACTAGCTCTCCTCAAGAGAAATGGCTAATTTCAATGCTGGAGAAAGGAAAATGCAAAGACAATATGAAATATTTTGTGCCAAGACATAAGAAAGTGCTCCAAAAATATAGGAGGCAATATGAAAGACTTTTCCATTGCTCAAATTTGGGGACATCTGAGCTTCAAGAATAATGATAGCAAAGCACAAGGTCCTGAGTTTGATCCCTGGTACCAAAGAAAAGAATAATGATAGCAGTGGACTCTAAAACATTGAATTAAAAAGGATCCCATGAGTCCATAAATCAGTGGGAGGAAGAAAGCTCCTGTTTGTAGTAGAAAGTTAAGTACTCAAATGGAATGACAGACCTAGCAAATCACCATTTTGTAGCTTCCAAAGTAATGTGACTCAAGTAGGAATCATCAATGGATGGTAAAGCCCCTGAGTTACCGTGTGGGGGGAACAGGATACACATACAGTCCCAAAGTAGCTCCCACAGATTGTTTATTAATTACAAAGGGAAAATGGTACCTTCCAAGTAGGGAGTCCTGGCAGACAGCACCTCAATCAAGTCATCACATTTAACATCACCAGTAATGGGACAAAGTGCCACAAGTGGCCCTCATGTGAAGCAGTGAAGAGATAAGTACATTACTTATGTCAGATTTCTGCCAAGAATGCATAACCTGAATCTAATCATGACAACACATTCAGGCCATCCCAAATTGAGGAACATTCCACAAAATAACCGACCAAGATTCTTTGGGAATTTCAATGACATGAAAGACCAAAGTACATGGAGGAATTGTTTGAGACTAAAGGAGACCAGAGAGACACACGGGTAAATGCAACACATGGTCCTAGAATGGATCCTGCTTTGGAAAAATCACATATGCCTTAAAGGATATTATTGGACCAATTGGTAAAATTTGAAAATGACTACTATATTAGATAGTCCTGTATACTGTTATCAGTGTTAAAGTTCTGGAGTTTGGTAAGTATATACGAATATGTAAGAAAATCTTATTCTTAGAAAATACGTGCTGAGATTATTTTAAGAGTCAAGGGTTAGGATAACTGCAACTTACTCTCAAATGGTTTGGAAAACCAGTAGATACAGTTTCATTCTCTGGAATATTTTCTGCTCCTGCCACCATTTGGCTGGTTCTTTCTCAGAGTTTCCCAGTTAAATTCCTGAGAGGGAGAGAATATGTTTGGCTGGAATCCCCTGGATCACCCCTCTTTGGGCAGACCACTTTTGTAGATCTTTTGTAAGCCTCAGGATTGGCTGGCTAGAGTCATGTGACTACCTCTTCTCCAATCAGCTCGGGCCCAGGATGGATCATGTGGTATATAACATGGCTGCTACCACTGCTTCCACAATGGAGGTGGTGGGCAAGGACTCTTTATAAGGGCTTGGTAGGCCCCATCCTTGACTGTGCCAATATATCCTCTATCTCCAGCTGCCTGTTAACCAAGGAGATACCTGAAGACCTCCAGACCTAACTTTGCACCCAGGTCTCTCCCTTAGTCTTTAAAAAAAAAAACCTCACAGATGTGTGCTCTGCACCAGATCATGTGCTAGGTCCTCGGGGCACAAAGCTGACGTAGTCCTTACCCTCAGGAGCTCTGGTTCAAATTGGATAGGAATGAAGAACACAAAACTGGAGTGCAGGGTTGAATTGCAACTAACAAACAGAAGCACCCAATGCTAATGGGGCCCAAGCCCCACATCATGGGAATACAAGGTGGGAGTGAAAAGTCTTCAGGGAGGTGGTACTTGCTGTGCCTCATGGGAGGGGAAGGGGGCCCTTGGATAGGGGCCCAGCTGCTGTATGGTTCCCATCCCATCCCTGGGGTTTCTGTTTTCTCTCTGCACAGCCGGACCCAGCAGGCCGGGATATCTCCATCCGCCCACTCCTAGAGCACTGTGAGAACACCCACATGACCATCTGGCTTGGCATCGTCTACGCCTACAAGGGGCTTCTCATGGTGGGTGCATGGCAGGAGGCAGAGGTGGGGGGGTCACTTCTCTGTTGGGCCTCTTTTCCTAGGGGCTTCCATCAAAATAAAAATAAACAGAGCACCCATGACTAAGCACTTACTCTCTGCCAGGTCCATCATGTGTCCTTTTAGGTCCTACAACAACCCTATGAGATAGGTACATATAATATCCCCATTTCCCTGGTGAGGACTCTGAAGTTTGGTATCTTGCCCAAGATCCCTCAGCTAGTAAGTGGCAAAGTCAAGATTGTAATAGAAAGTAACCCTGAAACTTCACAACTGTCACATCCTGCTCCCAGAAACAGCAGTCTGTTGACATCCAACAGGTATTCCCATCCCACATTTCACTGGATCATCTCTAAATCCATGGGAATTCAATAAAATCGCATCCATTTTATGGACAAGAAAGTAAGACTCCGAGAGGTTAAATGATTTGCCAAAGCCTACCCAGTAACCTCCAACCTCAACCCAGCCCTCTTTCCTCTATAGTTGTCTGTTAAAATAAAATACCACATACCAGTACCACACTACACAGGAAGGACTTGGAAGGTCAGCCCTACCCAAACTTAGTCCAAGTGAACCCTTCAATCTCCTCTCCCACAGCCAGTGTAAACTGTCCTCCTACTTTGAGGGTAGTAACAAGGCCCTCTCCAAAAGTTAAACTGGAATTTCTTGTGCTGCCTAAATGCATTCTTTCCTACTGCCGCTTCCCAGAACTGTTAGTGATAACCTCATATCCTTCAAGGGGCCACATCAAAGGGTATGCGTCAGGGTACCCTAGACAAAATTTTCCCTCACTTCATCCCAGCTGAGACTCTCTTGTGGTTTCCAGAGAGGTCTTTTGCACCTCCCATGGAAGCAACAGGACCACTGGACTGCTGTGTGGACCCTTCAGGGTAGTGACCCTACAGGTGTCCAAAGGAGCTTCCCAGAGAAGAACCAGGAGGTAGAAGACTGGCAAAAGTTCCTGGACTCAGACAAGGATACACACAGGAAACAAAGTCACCAAAAACCTGGAAGAGCTGTCAGGGATGAGTAGCACAGACCCAATGGGAAAGGCATAGTTTTGCCACAAAGCAGACTTAAACTCTATGTAAAGGATTAAGGATGAGCTCCCTGTCACAGGAAGCATGCTGAATTGATGACTTGAGCTTCACCCAGCCCTTGTTGAATAAACAGAATGAAATTAGACTCCCTCCACAATCCTTCCAGCCTCCATGTTCCTTGATTCTGAGACTCCATGAAATTAGATTATGGTGAATCATTGACGCCTTTAAACTGGATTTATCTGCCATGTTTTCATCATTTATTATCTTCTCCCACCTACTCCGGAAGTAGTTGGAGATGAGCATATCTCCTCCAGTGAATGCCTTCTACTAGGTTACGTCAATAAAAGCTATACTTGACATCACGCATGCTTTACCATTTACAGTGTACACAAGGAACAGTCGAAGCCTTCCTGGACCTCAGAGTTTATGGCTAAAATTGCATCCATGCCCCTGGCCCTACCCTTTCTAATCCGGAAGCACAGAATCAGGCTGGAAAGAGTATGGACACCCCTGTAGTCCCACCCCAACCCACCTGCGCATCCCCAACCAGTGTCCACTCATTGCCTGCTCCCACAGCTTTAGTGATAGGAGCTCACCACTTTCAAAGCAACCTGTGCCATCTGAGGTTGGTATATTAGTTTCCTTTGACTACTATAACAAATCATCACTTCAAATTAGCCTAAAAAAACACATAATTTATTCTTTCACAGTTCTGGATGCCAAGAGGCCAAAATCAAGGTAAAGTTGTGTTCCTTCTAAAAGTTTTAGGGAGAATCCTTCCAGCTTCTTCCAATGAAGATGGCTGCAGGCATCCTTTGACTTGTTACTGCATGACTCTAATCTCGCTGAACTTCTCTCCCGATCCTTGCCAATGGATTTAGGAACCATCTGTACAATGCAGGGTGATTTCATGTCAAGATCCTTAATTGGACTGGCAAAGACACCTTTTCCCAATAAGGTCACATTCACAGTTTTCAGGGATCAGAATGTGGATATATCTGTAGGGCCACCATTCTGCCCACTACAGATGGGTTATTTTGTTAGAAAGTTCTTCGTTATCATCAGGTGAAACATACCTTCGTGTAAATCATGCCCACAAATCCCCTCGAAGGTCTAAGAGCATCTTACTCTCTGTTTCCTCCTGTCATCATGGCACTCTTCAGATATTTGCAGCCAATTCCCAGGTCACAGTTGTGTCCATGTTTTGTGATTGGTGAAAATTCACACAGGTTGGCTGGCCCCCCAGCACAGGAGGATACATTAACTCCCTGTCAGAAGGTTGGCATCTCTTTACATAAGTCCCTTCTTCTCTAGGCCAGTGCCCTCTAGAGAGGAGAGGAAGTTTTCAAGATCATACAGGATCTTCCCACTATACCTTCCTACTATCCTCTGGTGGGTCTATGTATGAGTCAGTTGTGGAAGTGAAGGAGAACCAGACACCACCCCCCAGTCCGCTTTTCCTTTGTGGGATACAACCCAGGACCATGAGTGGAAACAGATGGCAGCATCTATAAGACTTGGTTGATAACAGAGCCCCAGCCTGCCTCCTCTATCCCCTACTTCTGGGCAGCCCTCTATGCAGCAGCTTTTTGGAGCATTGAGTGTGTGCCACCACTTGGTAATGATGATCTCCCCCTTTCTGTTCACCATTTCAGTTGTTCGGTTGTTTCTTAGCTTGGGAGACCCGTAACGTCAGCATCCCTGCACTCAATGACAGCAAGTACATTGGGATGAGTGTCTACAACGTGGGGATCATGTGCATCATCGGAGCTGCCGTCTCTTTCCTGACTCGGGACCAGCCCAATGTGCAGTTCTGCATCGTGGCCCTGGTCATCATCTTCTGCAGTACCATCACTCTCTGCCTGGTGTTTGTGCCAAAGGTACCAGTCCTTTGGCCTCTAACTCCATTGCAAGGGTGCTGTTAGGATTTCTTTCTGAAAGTTTTATGCATTCTTGTCTTATGATGCATTATTCCATTTTCAGTTACTATAATAAAATAACGTGGGTTGGCTAACTTTATAG